CCAAAGCTCTTATTTTTCTGTGGTCACTGAAGTTCTATGTATTTGGTCTATAGGCAAGAGTCATTTTTGGTGACTATGAGCACTTTCTAAATTCAAATGTACATCAGCGCAAAACGAGGAGCCTTGGGTATATGAGCCACGTAACAGGGAGAGCTGAGAAAACAGAGGAAACGGGTTAGAACTCCCCATGAACTGGACGTGTACATCCAGAAGGAACTAACAGGCCCGATTCCTTAGAAAAAGAGAGGCTGGACCAGGAAGTTAGGAGACTGGGCTAAGCCGTCTAAGGCATCCAGAGTGAGCGATTTTAATAGAACTTGGTCTGTTCCAATACTTCTAGGCAGAGACAATCGTTAACATTTATTTATCTCGAAGGCTAAGGGGTGAGGGCAAACCCACCTACGCTGGAACGTATGGAGCAGAACTAACGCAAACGCATGTTTCCCCGTCGGTTTGTCCGACGAGGTGTAACTTGTACAGAGGATGACTCACAAGGTAACAGAGTCACCCCTCAGGTGCAGAACGGCAGACAATCTGTGTGGCACTTTGTGACTCAGCTGGGCGAGGTCCCCAAGGCAGCCAGGCTCCAGCCCTGCACTCCCACGCGGCAGAGGAAAGCCCCTGTGTCTACCGGCTGGGTGGCGGTTAAGACGGCGGTGGCCCTGAGAGATCTTTTGTTTGAGGCTACGGAGGTACTTCCTCTTGTGCCTTCCCCGCGTCTCGTCGGCACTTCCGCGTGTTACCTTTGGAAGAAGCCAAGAGAGACTCTACTCAAGCACAGAAGGCCCGGAACTGGACACCAGCCGGCAACACGCCGGCACTCGCAGGCCCGGGGGCATCCCTCGGTCCTCAGCTCGTATAAACGTTCAGGAGGCATGTTGTCAGGAGCCTGCTCTACCTGGTGTAGTGAGGATGGGGCTCCTTTCCAAAAGCCCAGGCCCAGAGGCAACTTATAAGGAAATCATCGTGTGGTGGGCGAGGGGCAGAGGGGCGTCAGCCCATGTGAAATTCCCACGGATGAAAAAAAAAATTACTGTCACCGCTGCCTGGTGAAATTCAGACCGCCACGAACTCATTACTTGAAGCCACAAGGACAGTTGCGGTAAACACAGACAAATTATTGGGTTTAAGTAGACTGTTTTTTGTGCCAAAAAAAAAAAAAAATCATCTTTCTTCCTCCCCCACCAATCTGGTTATTACAAAAAAGCTTTGGAGCCTTGTGAACTGGGCTAGACCAATTTAAGCCTCTCTTTTCCCCTGGGGTTCCTTCTCAGGACTCCCAACTGGTTTGGAAAATCCTTTGGCTGCTGTGGGAAAGGAGAGACCCCCTTCCTGCAGCAGCCACAAAAGAAGGAAAAATTAAATTATGCAAAAGGGGAACAGGCCACGAGAACCACAAAAGGCCAAGAGGAAAGGGCAGGAGTAGAGATCGTGGGCAGGACAGGCATCCTCATCCCCCTTCTTGAAGAGAGTGGCACTCTCTGCCCAGACACCCACATCTGGCCCTGTCCACATCCTAGCGCCCATCCAGACCAGGAGCCCTCACACTCGCAGCGCGTGGAAGAAACTTCCAAGGGCTCTGTGCGTAGAGATGGGGACAATCTGCAGTGCAAGTCATGAGTGCAAGGACCGTCACTAGATAACAAAATTGCAGAATACAGCAGAATACATCGCCAGGAAAACGCAGCCGTAGTCGGCTGTCATGCAGTCAGGACAATTTGGGAAAAAGCAAAGAGCAAGAATACAGCCAGGAATGGGTCCACATTTAGTGACAGGTTAAAGTTTAAGAAACTAGTCAAACCGGTATAAAAACAGAAAAAATTCCAGAGGAAAACACGGCAGTGGGGAATGGACGACTGATACAGCTCGAGCAGCAGGAAGGGCCGATGCTAAGCCACAGGCCAGGCGAGGGTGCGCCCAGTGCCCCGGGGCTCTCTGGACCTTTGGAAGGTGTTTCTTCCTGCTCAAAACAAACTTACACTTGGCTTTCACAGCTGCATTAATAGCCCAGAGATCTGTGCTCCAGGGAACACACTTTGAGAAATACTGCCCCAGAGAGACAGGTCAAATAGCACAGTTCCCAGAAGGA